ACAAGGCCTAATCATCATAAAAGAAAGTGGACTCATATAAGAAAAGTGTCTCACTCCATAAAAATAGACTTTCATAAAATACCATTCAACTATCAAAAGAAGAATACGAGAAACAAAAGAATTTCTCAAACAAAGGTTGTTCAAATTAAAATCCATATTCTGAGAGAAATTCTCAACATAAACCCAGATCAAGAATTCAAGGACAATAGTAGGTGATAAAAGGAGATTCATCAAGCTATCCTGACAAGGTAAATTTGAGGTAAAATTCTCAATCTCATTTGGATAGAATGGAGGAAATTTTTTTTCTCTCTCTATTTTTTTTTTTGTTTGAATGCACATGTTCAGGCAAAATGAAACATGTGATGATAAAATATGTATTTTTTAATTGTATTAGTATTAACACACAATCACAGCTGTAGGAATAGTGTAGCTCTAACAGCAATGAAGGTTATTACAAATAAATAATAATATGAAAATAGAGTTGGATCAGAGTCTTATCAGATATGTATATTGTAGAGTCTACACGATTACCCACACTAGATAGGACTACTAGTGTCTTTTTCAATGATATAGATAGTAGATGCACCGCCATAGAGAGAGAGAGAGAGAGGGAGAGAAAGAACAAATACTGAGAAAGAGGTGCTATTTACAGCATGGGAGGGTGCCATGAAATGAGAAATTCTAATCATCATAATTTGCCACATAATGGAGGGAATTAATGTGATGAAATATTTCACAACAAGTGTGGAGGTAAACTTCCTAATTTGGATTCAATTATGAATGTTTCACTATTAATTCCTGACTTTCGGTTAATTCTCATTAAATCAGAATATGTCAAATATTTACTCATTAATTTGATTGCATAATGACCTGATTCTCATCAAAGGCGGATCAATAATTTCCAAAGACATGTGTTTAGAATCCATTTCATCATATAACTAATTAAAGTTGACGTGAGTGGTAGGGTTTTCATCATTTAAACAAGTGGTTAAAGGTTCTTGTGTATGTAGTTAGGAGAGAAGTCTACTCTTTGCCGAGTCTAGTCCTTATACTTACTTAGAAAAAGATTCCATTTCATCTTATGCACCGCCCGCAGTTGTTATTTTCTGATGCACTGAGACATTATTATTGTAAGCCTCCAAAATAATCCAAGCGCTTATAATATTCACCTCAAATAACGTTAAATAAATCCCATATTTTGGAGGATTTAAATTAAATCCGTGTTGGGTTGTTGTCACATATTTCATTGAAAGAGACGCACTAGGAGCGGAATATAAACAAGAATAGAAGAGGATAATTATTTACTAGATGTTAAAGTAACAAGTGGCAATAGGTATATGGTTTTTATGTAAAAAATGAGTCATCCTATATAATTAATTATATTGTCTTCTTATTAGTTATTAATTTGGGAAAGACGGGAAAAAAAAAACAAATAGTTTCTACCAATTAAGCTTGGAATTGCCAGATAACCAAAGAATAGAAATTGAACAGTGGAAGAACAAATTAGACCAAAGAAAAAGAGAGAATACCGACGGACTAGTGAAGCTACAAGGACGGATAACACATAATTTTCCTCTATTTCTCTGAGCAAATTATGCTGAAATTGGGAAAAAAATAAATTGAAATTTTAGAGGAAAGTTGTCAATGAAGCATCTCTCCATAGATTTGGATACGGTAACTGTACTTAGTATTTGCATTCACATTTAAGCAATTGAAATTCAAATTAATGGTTTAGATAAACTCATTACTAACGTGAAGTATGAATTCATAATCATTGATCTAAATTTTAACAACTCAGATGGTGTAGGTACTCAATACCTGTATTAATTAAATACAGTCACGAAATTCAAATCCTCCTTCTATATAGTCTATAACAGTTAATTAGCTAAGTAAATAACAAAATGAAATTTAAGATGAAAAACAAATGAAAAAATATAGTTAAAATGTTTTTTGTCCATGAATATAATGTGATAAAAGGTAATTACATTACTGGCAATCAATAATGAGTGTGTGCGTGTGTGTGTGTAGTGTGTGTGTTTATTATATTGTTTTTCATATTTATATATATAATTTAATTGGATGTTCATGAATGAATAAATTATTTAGAGAACAGGATATCCAGAGGAAAAAAGTGATATTAAATTATAATGAGAATATTTGCAGAAAAAATTTGTTTCATTCAAATTTTGAAACTTAGATAAGAAGGAGCTTATTACCCCCAAAAAAAAAAAAACAAATGGAGCTTAATGCTGTGAAGCTAATAAATGAAGGGTTTTATTGAAATTTTCATAGATTCGGAGAGATATTGATTTAAGGAAAGTTCCATAATCAATAAGAATAACTGCATTCCAATTTTAAAAGCAAGAAAAAATTATAATAATTTTCACTCCAAACAACTTACTTAAATAACAAGAATCCCTATAACTATCAAAATAATTTTACAGATGGTATTTCTTTATTTTACTAACCTCTTATAGGATCCTATACATAACATAATTCTAAATTTGAAAAATAATTATATAAATTAACTAATATCAAAATAGGTATACAATTTTTTTAAAATTTTTAATGATAAAATGCTAGAGAAAATTACTTTACTCTAAATACGAAAAATGAGAAATAATTTTCTTTTAAATCGTGAAAAAATTATTTCTTAATGAGAAAAGATATTTCCAAATTCTTATTTATACTTGACATCTTCAGTTAGCTAAAAAAAAAATACGAAACAATTTGCAAATAAATCTGTTACCTAAATAAATTTGATAAAATTGCAAGTACCATTAATTTTGCAATAGTTTTGATTAAAAATATAATTATAATGAATTTAGTCATAAATTTCGATAAAACATGTTTCCTTGTCCAGCAATCAACTTCCATAAAATAATAATTACTGATATTTTACAATAAAATTTCCAATAACGACATACCTTTTCAACAAGAAAAATTTACTCGTCCCTGTAGGAAAAAATTTAGGACAGGTGTGACCTTTTGTGTGCAATTGATCCATTTTAAAATGGCGGCTTTTAATTACCAATAAGTTTTTACATTTTTTAGCCAGCCAACCGATAATTTTTTTTACTTTAATATTTTAAATTCCTAATCTAATACAAATAAATTTGTTACCTTAATCTTCGACAAAAATTTTGAAGGATAATTATTACTATACGTATTTTACATAATGTTCATCCACGGAAGATTCCGTTTAATTGGAAATAGAAAATATTCTATTTCTAACAAACATATTGAATTCCATTATATTTTTTTTTTTGAATGAAAAATTTGATTGTATATTATTACACGTTATTTAGTATAAGAAGTATTTAATTACGATTACAATTGTTAAAAATTATATATTTACACCTTATATATATAAATAAATAATTTACCTTTACAAATTTTGCCATTTTTATCTATATCTTAATTGTGCTGCTCTTGCTTTAAAATTATTTTATTGATTTTTTCTCTGGGGTTATTTTATTGATTTTCATCTACTTTAAATCAAATTTCAAAAATCGGGAGTTTTCCAAATTGTCAAATTATTACATTATTTAAATAGAAAACTTTGTGTATTTGAAAACATATATAGCTTGAGAAGGCTCAACCCTATACCCTTAATATTCTAGAAAAATTAGTTTATGCTATCAGCAAAGTAAACCCTTGTCTCTTACCAAGGAGAAATTGTGTATATAATTAATAATTATATCAGTATAAAGTGCAACAAAATGGTATGGAGACTCCTTTTTTAAGAAAAGAATATATTCTTTTGATATATAATAATATAAACTAATTAAAATGAACTAATTTTCAACCCAAGAAAATAAAAATATTATTCTTTCTATTCAAAAATGTAAGATATTTTTTAAGAAGTTAGATGCTTAGTCTTTTAAGGTGTAATTATTTTTTGCCAAAAGTACCTCTATTGATAGTAACTTTATATTTATTATAGAGTATTTAATAAAAATAAATATAAAAAAATATGATTAATTAAAAAATAAGTAACTATTTTATTAAAAAATAAAATTTAATTAAAAATATTTTATATTTTTAAATCAAAGTTTTTTATCTGAGAGCTCAGGAAAAAATGAGTAGCAAGAAGAAGAGTTATATACATTTTTGGTTGACTTATTTCTTCACACTCCTTGGCCCTTTGCAGTTGCACCTTACGCGGCTTTAGTACCTTTGTAGAAGTCTCGGAAGAGGCCGAAAAATTCACGTTCCCCCTGTGGGCGGAAAGCTCTTTGTCGTTATCTTCACATTCTGATCTGTGGGACCTTCCTCCACTTACGTCATTCGGCAATGACAAAGATGTCTGTAAAGACTCATTAATTTAAATAAATTTTAAATATTAAATTTTAAAAATTTATAACTTAATTTTTTAATTTTATAATTATATTGTTATGAATTTATAATTTATTTTTTAAATTTTAACATAATTAAAAAATAAAAAATAAATTTTTATTAAAATTTAAAATACAGGTGATAAATATATGTATTTGTAAAATTAAAAAATTAATTTATAAATTTTTAAATTTTGACACTTAAAATTTAACTTTAATTAATTAATTCTTTTGGTATCTCTATGTGATTCTCCCTCTTTCTTTTCCTTTAATCCCTCCGTAGCCGTTTTTCAGTTATTCACTCTCCCTCTCCCACTCTTCCTCCTGCACCGTCCACGTCCTTCCTTCTTTATATTTGCGTTTATATATAGACATATATAAATGCAATCAAGATGATTAAGCATACAACACTCGTGGGATCATAATTCATAAACCAAAGAAAGTGAGATATCCATCTCCACCAATCTGCTTTCTCTTTTCTTCTTCACTATTATGAGGCTTCATCTTCAAGCTTCTCACCAAACTTCATCCACTTCAATGCTCAATAACTCCTTATGCGATCCCTTCCAATTCAAGGAGGCGGCGGCGGCTGCAGCCACCACCGCAAACTTGCCGTTCAAGAAGTCTCAGTTCTCATGGAGCCGGCTCAAGCATGACTCGCCGGCGCAATGCGACTTGCCAAAGCTCGGCCGGAAATGGATGCAATACCAAGGGATCAATAACTGGGACGGAATGCTCGACCCTCTTGACGATACCCTACGTCATGAAATCCTCAGGTACGGCCAGTTTGTGGACGCGGCGTATCGCTCCTTCGACTTCGACATGTCGTCGCCGACGTACGCCATGAGTCGATACCCGAAGCGATCGCTTCTGAGCCGATCTGGGATTCAGAAGTCTGGTTATAGGATAACGAGAAATCTTCGTGCAACGTGTGGAATTCTCTTGCCGAAGTGGATTGATGAAGTGCCATGGAAGTTTAGTTTGCGTAGTTGGATAGGTTACGTGGCGGTTTGTCAGGACAAGGAAGAGATTGCGAGGCTTGGCCGGCGCGACGTCGTTATCTCTCTGAGAGGGACGAGCACTTGCTTGGAGTGGTTGGAAAATGCACGCGCTGCCTTGACCAGTTTACCGGAAGATATGGGAGGTAAAGGAGGAGATCAAGCAATGGTGGAGAAAGGGTTTTTGAGTCTTTACACATCAAAGACGCCGAGGACTCCAAGTTTGCGGGAAATGGTGAGAGAAGAAATTAAGAAAATTATCCGATCTTACGGAAACGAGCCACTAAGCTTGACGATTACTGGTCACAGTCTGGGAGCAGCACTTGCGATTCTAAGCGCGTACGACATAGCCACCACATTCAAGAATGCACCCATGGTGACGGTGGTTTCTTTTGGTGGCCCGCGCGTGGGGAACGAAAGTTTCCGGCGGCGGTTGGAGCAGAGTGGAACCAAGATTCTAAGAATAGTAAACTCCGATGATGTTATTACGAAGGTGCCAGGGTTCGTGGCCAGAAAAGATGACGTGGCAGGCGGTGGAAAGGCCCCCCTCGGAAGGCTACCACAGTGGCTGCATAGGCGCGTGGAGGACCTGCAGTGGGTGTATGCAGACGTAGGGCAAGAGCTGAGACTCAGTAGCAGAAAGTCTCCATACCTTAAGAACTTCGATCTCGCCACGTGTCATGATCTTAAGACATATCTTCTTCTGGTAAAGGATTTTGTGAGCTCGACGTGCCCCTACACTCCAAAAACGACGCAGTGTCCAGCCCAAGCGTGGTTGTGATATATATATTTTTCTTCCATTTTTTAAATATCATTTTTGAACAGAAGCTCGGATTTCGTAGCTCAATAAAAAAAATTGTACATGTTGAATTATGAAAATTACATTTGAAAATATGGTTAAAGATGGTAGATTTATTCCCTCCCCCGCTCTCAATCTCAAAATAAGCCTTTATTAATGAGTTAAATTATCTTTATTTAGTTTTAAATAAGCCTTATAGTGATGGCCTCTGTAAACAAGTTTTTTACGCTACCAAGGAAAGATAAACTGAAATAACCCAAACTTGTATGAAGGTTGCTTGATTCGGAAGTTAAATAAACTTGTCCTGAGATCTAGAATTTAAATCCCGTGAGAGTTTGGATTAATATTGTAATGCTCAAATTTCTCAAAATATCGAGAAATAAATGAAAAACTTTGTCAGCTTCATTGATACCAAAATAATTTAAATAATCTATATATTTTTTTAATAATATAATTTTCACAAACAATGTAATGGCCATTCAAATTTTGAATAGTTAAAATATAAATAATAATCATTATTATTCAAACCATGAAAGATCAATTAATGTGATAAATTGCAAAGGAACAATAAATTGAGTGCTCTATAGTCTATCTAGTCCTTTGTTCGGGTTTCATTGTGGTGCCAAGTGCCAACAGGGGCCGACTTAGCTGTAAGAATAGGATCATCACTGTGTGTGTAAGGTTTAGGTTTCAAACTTCCCTATAATATAAAGAAAAAATGTATATAAAAAAACATATTTAAAATCATAGTTTTGGTTAATAGTTTTCAACGTAATATCAAATATATATGCTCTAATCAAATGGCGCTGCTGCTTTTATAAATGTTACATATCCATTGAATTAATATACTTGCCGCTGTTTTTGTTATTAAATAATGTTAATGGATCTATTTATGAAAATCATGGGTTAGGATTTATTTAAAAATTTAAATGGAAAATTCACCAAGTTTGGTAGTTGGTTAACCAGAAAATAATAAAAAACATCAAAAATTATAAAAAAAATGATAAATTACTAGCAAGCGGACTCAAAAATTTCAGAAAAAGGACCAAGAAAATATTATTAGTCTTTTTTTTGTAATTTTTGATGTTTTTTTTTTTTTAATTAATTAGCAGTCAAAATTAATTTTTATTAATAGTAAGAGCCGAATTGCATTGTCTTTAAAAGTAAAAGAAGAACATCATATAAAAAATAAATTTAAAATTTCAAACACTCTTAAATTAAGAAATAATTCTCTTTTATCCTTATTTAAAAAAGATTGTATGATATTGATGTGATAGATGTTTTTAGTAAGTCAAATTTTTTGTTTTATGCAAGAAAGTAAGTCTATATTGATATTATATTGGAGCAATGCGAGTCCTCCAAATAATCATTTACTTGAAAGAAATGTAAAGTATATGGATGTTGGATATAGATAGATCCTTGAATAAGACTCATAAATAAACAGTATTCCCAATCATAAGTTGGACGCATGTTGGTCAAAAATTAAAATTAAAATATATATATATATATATATATATAAGTTGGTCGCAACAATATGATACCCAGCTATGTAGGAGATGACTGCACAAAAGACCAAATTTCATGTGTACATGTGTGTGTGAGCCGTGTGTGTGGGATTCCAATTTAATTTCACCATAAATTATGTGTCAAATCAATAAGTTTATTATTTCATTGTTCCAGTCACGTAGGAAAACTCAAGAAATTGCTAAAAAAAAAAAAACTCAAGAAAACCATTTTTTTAAGAACATTTGGTACCATAAACTTTTATATGGTGTAATTTTTTCTTTAACTTTTAAAAATAATATATTGGGCACCTTACCATTAAAAAAATTAACTTTAACTATTGTTTAAACAAAATAAATTACAAAAAAGAACTTAAAGACTTATAAAAAATACCTACAAAATTGCAAATTAGTACCTTGTGAGGAAATTAATATCAAATAAGTCTTTAAAATAATAGTTGGACAAAATCACATTTTTGGCATTTTAGATGGGTAGAAAAAATATTTATATCGTGGTATTTATATGTAATTTAAGACATTTAATTGATATTAATTTTCATATAGAATAGTCATATGTAATTTCATGGGTCCCTTTATGTCATTTTTAGGTCACTTTTTGCAATTTTTAAGTGAACTAACAATCAAAATTAACTTTTTTAATGGGAGGATACTCAATGCATCAATTTTAAATGTTCAAGCGAGAAACAATATCACATGAAAATTTAGGACGCTGGATACTTTTGAACATATAATTAAAGTGCAAAAATGCCCTTTAATCCTTTAATCATCTCAAATGAAAAAAATAAACATAATTAGATAATATTTGATTTCAATTATTATAACTTGGGGATTCATATTCTTGTAAATGGATGGGAGTAACTGATGAGTAGGAAAGTGAAATTCATTATTTTATAAGGGTTAAGGTATAATTTTTCCCTTAAACCATTTTTGAAAAGCAAAGTTACCTTTAAATTATTTATTGTAGCAATATTATCCCTAAACTTATTAAATCAGAGCAATGTTGTCCCTGCTATTAAAAATGTTCATTATTATAACTAGTAGGAATCACTCTTCATGAGTTAAGGTACAATTTTACCCCTAAACTATTCTCAAGAGAGCAATGTTGCTCTCACCTTTTAAAAATCATAAAATCAAATAAAAAATTATAATAATATTAAACAAAATAATATTAAATGTATATATAAATATAAAATTATAATAATATTAAATCTATATATAAAATAAATATAAGAAAAAAATTTATAGTATATTAATAAAATAATTTAAATTAATAATATTATAAATTATAATTTTATAACTTGTTAAATATAAGTGGATTTTAGTTAAATTAAATATGAGTAGACTCAAAAATATCTACATTTATACTATAACTATTGATTGGAGCTGTCATTAACTACTCAATTTGGGCTAAAAAATATTTTTATGATTGAGCTAAATTGAACAAGAGTTAAGCCATTATTAAGTCAAAAAATGAAGTTAAATTAAAAATTGAAGTGGTTTTCAGAAAACTGGATGATTTTAAATATAATATTTAAAAAATCTTAAAAAATTTTTAAAATAAAAAAATTCAAAAATTAGATCCTACTAAAAGCTAACTTTATTTTTGAACAATTATAAAATATGATTTGAGATCATTTTTTTATAAAGATGTTGATAATTATAAGTGTAAATGCAAATACTTGTGAGTCTACTTATATCTAATTAAATTAAGATCCACTTATATTTAACAAGTTATAAAATTATAATTTATATTTTTTTATATTTCTTTTATACATACATTTAATATTACTTGTATTTAATATTATTATAATTTTATTTTTATATACACATTTAATATTATTTTATTTTATATAATTATAATTTTATTTTTATTTAATTTTAAGATTTTTAAACGGTGAAGGCAACATTGCTTCTTTGAGAATAGTTTAGGGGCAAAATTGCACTTTAACTCATGAAAAGTAAGTCTCACAAGTTACAGTAACGGATGTTTTAATGAAAAGGATATTACTCCAATTTGACTAGTTTAAGGGTAACATTGCTACGACTAATAATTTAAGAGTAACATTGCTCCTTTGAAAATGATTTAAAAGTAAAATTGTACCTTAACTCATTTTATAATGAAGTTTCTATAGCAAAAATATTTTATAAAATGAATGAGATTTATTATGGCAAAAAAAGTCATGTTAAATGAATTTTGAAATCAATATATAATAAATCGTGATCCGATCCTAATAACAATTGATCAGGAATAATAGGTGGGTAGGGTTTCTAAGGTTGATGATTAAGCCATGTACATATATAGTTTATAATGGAGGTAGCAATATTGAAGTGATGGAAATTATGTTCTTCATCCAAAGGTTTTTCTTTTTGTTTTTCTTTCTTGAGAGATTTATTATATATTGGGAAATTTATTATGAAATATTTCAAAAATCACTATTATTTTTTAAATCATTCTCGACAAAACATGAAAAAAATTTTATGATGCGATAATTAATTGCCTAGAAATTTCCTATATATTTATTAATTGAAATTTTTTTATTTTTTATGTCATCCAATTTAAATATAATAATAAAAATTTGGCTTCTTACATATAATTTTCTGTAATTGATTTTTCTATTGCCGAATTTTTTTTAAATTTAAATGGTAATGTAAGTAAAGAAATTAAATAAAGTACATTTTAGTAGAAGTGTATTATTTTATACCATGGTTTGAGTCATGAAATTTCATTTCAAAAGCTATGAATAATGGGCAACAACTGTGTATCTTTTTCACTTGAAGATATAGCTATCACTATTAGTAGAAGGAAATCTTTTACATTATATATACAGTTTATAATGGAGGTAGCAATATTGAAGTGATGGAAATGATGTTCTTCAAACTCCAAAGGTTTTTCTTTTTGTTTTTCTTTCTTGGGAGATTTATTATTATATTGGGAAATTTAATTTGAAATATTTCGAAAATCACTATTATTTTTTAAATTGTTCTCAACAATAATACATGAAAAAATTTTACATGATAATTAATAGCCTAAAAATTTCCTATATATTTGTTAATTGAAATTTTTTGATTTTTTTTGTCATTCAATTTAAACATAATAAAAATCTGGCTTCTTAGGTATAATTTTTCTGTAATTGAATTTTCTATTGCCGAATATTTTTTTAATTTAAATGATAATGTAAGTAAAAGATATTAAATAAAGGACATTTGGTCGAAAGTGTATTATTTTATACCGTTTTTTGAGTCATGAAATTTCATTTCAAAAGCTATGAATAATTGGCAAAAACTGTGTATCTTTTTCACTTGAAGGTATAACTATCACTATTAGTAGAAGGAAATCTTTTACATATATAGTTTATAATGGAGGTAGCAATATTGAAGTGATGGAAATGATGTTCTTCACAGACCAAGGGTTTTTCTTTTCATTTTTCTTTCTTTCTTGGGAGATTTATTATATATTGG